AGTCTAAGAGCCAGCGACACAGAACCCTACGTCATCGCGGAATTCAACAAAAATATTATTAATAAGTAGGTTTGAAAGAGGAAAAAACAAAACCGCCATGTCTGCCAGGCATATCCTGTGCTTATTGTTGCTAATTAATTAATTAAGTGTAAGTAGTATAGTATAGCCGGTTCAAAATCAATGTCACTGGAAGGTCAAACGTAGACGTGAGTTTGAAACTCTGCTAAATCAATGTCACTGAAGGTCAAACGTAGACGTGGGTTTGAAACTCTGCGAAATCAATGTCACTGGAAGGTCAAACGTAGACGTGGGTTTGAAACTCTGCTAAATCAATGTCACTGAAGGTCAAACGTAGACGTGGGTTTGAAACTCTGCTAAATCAATGTCACTGGAAGGTCAAACGTAGACGTGGGTTTGAAACTCTGCTAAATCAATGTCACTGAAGGTCAAACGTAGACGTGGGTTTGAAACTCTGCTAAATCAATGTCACTGAAGGTCAAACGTAGACGTGGGTTTGAAACTCTGCTAAATCAATGTCACTGGAAGGTCAAACGTAGACGTGGGTTTGAAACTCTGCTAAATCAATGTCACTGAATGTCAAACGTAGACGTGGGTTTGAAACTCTGCTAAATCAATGTCACTGGAAGGTCAAACGTAGACGTGGGTTTGAAACTCTGCTAAATCAATGTCACTGAAGGTCAAACGTAGACGTGGGTTTGAAACTCTGCTAAATCAATGTCACTGGAAGGTCAAACGTAGACGTGGGTTTGAAACTCTGCTAAATCAATGTCACTGAAGGTCAAACGTAGACGTGGGTTTGAAACTCTGCTAAATCAATGTCACTGGAAGGTCAAACGTAGACGTGGGTTTGAAACTCTGCTAAATCAATGTTGAAACTCTGCAAAATCAATGTCACTGAAGGTCAAACGTGTATGTGGGTTTGAAACTTTGCTCAAATCAATGTCACTGAAAGGTCAAACGTAGACGGCCGTTTTTGCCTGAACTAAAGTGGTTCTGAGCTAATGTCAAGGTCAAACGGTTTTGAGTAGTTGCCTTCAAGGTCAAACGGTTTGCCAAGTAAGGGTTCTTGTCGAAACTAAAGAGGTTCTGGGCGGTGATAGCTGTCTTCAAGGTCATTCTGTACTAGGTTCGATTCTAAATAAGACGTTAAAGATGTGGTGGGAGGATGGAGACTTATATAAGCTTCTGTGTGTTCGTTACAAGGTATACATGTATTAAAAATGTCGTGGATGGCTTATGCTGCAGAATCATGGACCAGTAGTATAGTATAGCCGGTTCAAAATCAATGTCACTGGAAGGTCAAACGTAGACGTGGGTTTGAAACTCTGCTAAATCAATGTCACTGGCAAGTCAAACGTAGACGTGGGTTTGAAACTCTGCTAAATCAATGTCACTGAAGGTGAAACGTGGACGTGGGTTTGAAACTCTGCTAAAATCAATGTCACTGAAGGTGAAACGTGAACGTGGGTTTGAAACTGCTAAAATCAATGTCACTGAAAGGTCAAACGTAGACGGCGGTTCTTGCCTGAACTAAAGTGGTTATGAGCTAACGTCAAGGTCAAATGGTTCTGAACTTGGGTCAAGCAGGACCTTGAGTCGTTGCCTCGTAGGTAACAGGTCGATTGTGAAAACTAAAGTGGTTCTGAACTATGCTCATTGAAGGTTGTAACTCGATCGTGGTTTATTTCTTGGGTAATGGTGCGTATAAAGGGTTTAGCAGAGCACCGTAGAAGTCATATTCATAAAGAATAGGTACCAGTAAGGAAGTCAAAAGTAAATAGGATAACTGCGAAAGTGAGCAGACAGAGACAAGGAATAGACGATTTACTAAGAAAAATTAAAAAGTTGAAGTGGGATTTAGAAGTGCTAGATGTACAGCGAAAATTGAATAAAATACAACTAAAGCCAAGAAGTCCAACGCGCAATACAGGAGAATGCCGAAAAAATTAAGTGTGTTCAAGCTAATAAGCAAGAATTATGAATTACGACGCGTCGCTTAAATGAACCTAAATGTACCTACTTGACGTACTTATTGATAGAGGAAAATAAAGATTTGTATACATTGTATTTCTTATTTTACTTGACAAGTGAACTGGTCCATTTACCCTAGCAAATAATAAAAATATTAAATACAAAGGCCAGTTTCTTATGCATTCGAATGCAAATCATAATTTCTAATTGATTATGTGTTCGATTGATCGATTATAAAATTTTATACCAAAAACCTTTAATATAAATGACATCCTAATTAATCATGTAGGTGAGGCGTACATTTAAATAGACATAAAACGCAAATAATAGGCATTTTACGCTCAATGGGAATTATTAATTTTAGCTCTAGGAACTTCTCGTAAAGCAAAATGAATAAAACGCGCATCTACTGCACTTCCAATGGTGCGCATTAATTTGCATCTACAACTAATTAGCTATTCTTAAAACGTCGAATTACCTACGAATGCAATGTTTTTGGCACTAACACATCTATGATAATCGTTATTATTAAATACATAACGAAAAAATGCGGCGACGTTATTGTAAATGAACCCGAATCAAATATGTGCAATTTTTCATGTTGAGTTTTCTCTAAAAAAATATTAAGCGTGAAATTGTCTCATGCACACGAATTTGTTTGACCTAATTTCTATAACATCGTACCTAGAAAAGATTATGCATAGAAAAAGTGCATCGCACAGAATTTAAACGCGCGATAAAAAGATATTCAACTCGCAACTGCATATCCGGCGCGCGGGAACGAAGTTCATTCTTTGGTCAGCTGCGGAAACGCGCTTTGAATTTTACTACCGTTATTCGTGAAAAAATTGTTTTGGGTGTATTTATCAGTTTAAAAATTCCAAAATACGTAAATGTAGCTTTTCTTAAGTGCAAATGTGTAAGTACAAATTAAATTTTCACGGCACTTTTCGGTAATATGTAGAGGACCTCATTTTGCGGTTAATGCATTGAAATTTTTGGAAAATTATACTTCCAATAGATAAAACACTTCTTATAAAATGCATTTGCCTTTGAGAAAAATTTTTAAACTGCATAGAACCCACGACAAATTTAAAAATTCCAGGAGCGCAAAATTTTTGAACTTATTGTTCCTACCACAAAAATTAACAAAGCTTAAAATGTACCGCATGTCCCCTTCAATTTTTCTTTCCTCCATCCGGGACGCCTCCACTTGACGTTCCAATTGAGAGGTTTTGTCCTGCGTTTCTTGCAGTTGGATGGCATACTTCTGCAGCATTTTCTGCAGAAGTTGGTGCGCCTGGGAAGCAATCTCCCGCGCTGCAGGAATTGGAACCGCCGAAGTGGACGGCATCTCAGGTGTGTACCCCGCCTCCTGCCCTTGAATTTTCAGCAGGGCTTCTAAATTTTTCTCGCCACATTTGCGCCTGTAACGATGAAACAAATTTTTAGTTATATTCGATTTCATTTTTTTTTAACAACTTACCGTCTCTTCGCACACACCCTGGGATCGACCGGTTCGTCTTCGGACTTTCCAGCCTGCTCTAGAGGTGGAAGAGGAGCTCGAAATTCTGGTGGTGGAGTGGGCGACTTCTGCTGCTGTGACAAATGTGGCGTTGGGACAACTCTACAAAGAAATAGGTGTGTTCTTGAAACATGTACTTTCAAACATTAATTATTATTATTATTATATCCCATTAAACATAAACTTTTATACTAACCGTTCGCTGGAGTATAAATGGTCCGCAGCGTCACCTCCGTCTAATTGGGCCATCACTAATTCCACATCAAAATTCTCCCACAGGTTGGCAGGAGTTCTATAACAAATTATCATTGCTACATAAAATCAAGGGCACAATTAATGATACTTACTGGACTGTTGAATTATCCGAATGGATGGTGATGACACTACATTGGTCACCATCCATAAACGGCGCCGCCGGGAACGGTTTATTGTTACCGGGTACCACTTTTTTCGGCGAGTGGGGGAACAGATTATTATCGGTGCAAGTACTACTGTTCCCCACTTTGTTGCTTTCTAACATGTTCTGTAGAATGTTAGTTGGTGCCGGTTTTTTCAATGATAGTTTGGATTTACGTGACGACATTGTATTGTGTTAATTCTGTTGCGCGACGACAATAGAACTGACAAACGGAAGGAAATTTCTACTATATATTACAAACTCTCTGTTATCGTTTGCAAAATACTAAAGAGGGATATATTTAATAAGTGAGAACAACACATCGTATGATTTCCGGAATCAAATAACTGCATTGTCAGCTTTTGAACACCTACTAGTTGCTTACAGTCTTGCGCAAAAGGTGACCTTGAACACTTTGTCTATATAAGGCGATAATTGCCCTTAATTTGGTTACTTACACCTTCACCTTTCCACTCGTGGAGATTTTCGAGAGTACGAGTTCAACACTATCAACACGCAAGGTGACTGTGGAGAGTTCAATCCGGCGTAAATTTTAACAGTCTTGAGTTAAAGTTACAGTAAGTACCTACTAATTACAATGGAGTCTACATCCCTGGCAAGACTTAGCAGTGATATAGTTAAGACAACCCGAAAAGCTGTTGCATTATTAAAACATCTGAATTTGTAAAGCACATTTCGATAATAAGGGAAAACATTTCTTTGCTACAAAATGCTATCGATAACAACATTCATTTAGATAGTCGTAGTGAAAATCCCATTACGCTAGAAAGTAATTTGGCTATATTGAGATACTATTTAGTTACATTACGCGAACAATTGAAAGATGTTTCGAGAAAAAGCGGTTGTGGAATAAGTCATACGCCTGCTCCTTCTACTAGTGATCGTAATTCGCCAGTCCTAATTTGGCAAACCTTAAATTCTTGCTTTCAAGGTAGATTACTTACTGGTATTATTGTAAATACCGGTTTCAAAGACCCTTTAATTTTCTTTAAAAAATATATCGAATTGAATACACGTATGAGAAAACAGTCTACAAACGATTTTGAAATAAATTTTTATAAGCTAATGGTAAATAGCGTTTTTGGAAAACTGATGGAAAATGTAAGAAAATATAAAGATGTTCGCTTGGTGACAAAGTGGGAAGGTCGCTATGGCGCTCGTGCGTATATTTCCAAGCCAAACTTCCATAGCTGCACTCTTTTCGATGATGACGATATCGCGATAATAGAAATGAATCGGTTGGAGGTATTTCTTAACAAACCAATTTATGCGGGGTTGACGGTTTTAGACGTATCGAAAACTTTCCTCTACGACTTTCACTACAATTATGTATTACGGGAATTCGGTGATCGCGCAAAACTCCTGTACACCGACACTGATAGTCTTGTATACTCTTTTGCAGTGCCGGACATATATCAATCAATCAAAGAGAACATTAATCGATTCGACACATCCAGTTATAACCCAAATAATCCCTTTGGTATACCTCCTGTCAATAAAAAAGTCCCCGGATTGATGAAAGACGAAAACAATGGAAAAATAATGTTAGAGTTCGTGGGTTTAAGGGCAAAAATGTACGCGTACCGAGTGGACGACAAGGTGTTAAAAAAATCAAAAGGTTCGACAGCCGCTAGTATTCGTGAAATAACTTTACAAGATTACAAACGTTGCTTGTTTAACGATGACATTGTAAAAAGGGATCAATATCTAATTAGGTCACAGAAGCATTCTGTGTTCACCATAAGGCAGAATAAGGTGGTTCTTAGTCCTCACGATGATAAACGTTCTATCAGTTTAAATTGTATCAATACGCGGCCTTGGGGCTATAATTTGGCCTAATCCGCATATTTCGCGACCTCGAAACATCTTTCAATTGAATGCCTATTTTTTCAGATTATGAGCAACAGTTGCGGAAATCGTTCGGATAAAAAAGTGCAATTGGAGCGAGAATTATTTCAATCAATTTTTCCACCAAATATACATCCGAATACTTGGCTTTTTGCAGTTCTTGTTCATAAAATCCTCCTAGTATCGATTTTCCTTTCATGTCTTCCAATAAATACGTCACCGGATTGGTTATTCGAACTTTTACAATTTTGAAGAGTTCACTGGACCAGTTTGGTGTGTATCCTTTCGCAAATATGGATTTAAATTTGCTAATTCGAACAACATCGCCAACATTAAAACGATATCTCTTGTTGAAGAGCTTGATGTGGTGGTAGGCGTTCAGATGTGTGTCGCCCTTTACTTCGATCGGCTTCATCCCCGTTGTTCGATGTTTACGATTATTGTACTCGCTCGTGATTGATTCGATTGCATCAATCCATACATACTTTCCACGTAGACTAAACTGACGATACAAATAATTTTTGATCGTCCTAATTGTTCTTTCGGCTATGGCAGCTTTCTTTGTGCTGTACGTGGAATAGTGATTTATGCGTTTCTGCGCCATCAATTTGTTAAATGATTTGTTATAGAATTCCTTCCCGGCATCGGTTTGTAGATTTTTCGGTCTCCGTTTGGTAGTTTTGAAAATATCCTGTATGGCTTTTGTCACCTCCTCACCCGTTTTAGTCTTCAATCCTCTCGTCCACAGATATTTTGAAAAACAATCGATAACTACTAATATGTATTTGTAGCCTTTATTCTCTTTAGCGTAAGGTATAAATTCGGCTAAATCTGCTTGCCAAAGATCATCGAACCCTTTAATAACGGTGCGCCTACGTGGGAAGTTTTTGCGTGCCGCTTTATGTAGCTCGTTTACCACCTGCTGCATCCTCTATTACTTTATGCAAGGCTTCTTTGACCGCTTTCAACTCTTCCTTTAGTACTTCCACGTAATTGCGAAGACCATCTACAGGGGCTTTAGCGATCTGCATATAATATGTGAAGTATCCTTTATTTATGGCATCGCCGTCGTCTACTGGATCGGCCACATTCATCAACCGATTTCCGTTCAGATCCAGCCTTGTTGATAGGTAATGTTGTAAGGTTACAGCATCATGGCGCTCAATAGGATCCTCAACATTACTTAGTCTCTTACTTTTCACATTTATAGTATCGTCGGTAATGGAAAATTTTGTCTTGAGCAGTTTTCCAAATTGGGCATGGGTATGCGAACGTCCGAATTTATCCATGGCGAATGTAAGCAAAAAGACGGAATGGAGGTATTTATACTAGCTGACGTAAAAATCGTTGCGTGGGCTTTTGTATGTAACCCTCTTCGTATAGCTCTTCCACGATTGATATTATATCATTTCGTACTCCTGTGTTTCCTGCCATTTTTTCACCCCATAAAACCTCCAAATCCCTAATCAATTCATGCACGCTATTCCAGTATTTGTATTCGATCGGTCGGTCGAGTTCCTTGAATAGAGTAATACCGCTACCCGATTTCGCACGCCCCCTATTCGCCGCTTCCTCCTCCTTCAGTAGAGGCTTTATTATAAGCGTATACTTTTTGCTCTTATTGCCGCGAATCTGTTCGGTGGGATCGTAATTGCGTCGTGCGACATGAGTTGCTATTATTATCTGCTTATAGTTACTTCATCCGGTTCATTCATGATGATAAATTCGTATAGTCCTGCAGTACCTTTGTACCGGATCCCGTTAATGACCAAATCTTCGTCATCTATCGTCACCTCCGTCTTGCCCATTCTCCACTTATCCGTTTCGACATTATAATGAATTCCAAAGGTGGTATCAATTGCATTACTCGTATCTCTTATCATGCGCTCAACGTATATACGTGGTAGGTGTTTGTATTGTTCCAAAAAGGCTTGCGAACCTTGCATATCAAGTAATGAGGCAGATGATTCTGATGCGATAGAGGACTCTTCTTCTTCTTCCTCCGGTTGATGCTCGCCTATCACTGTACTCTGTAGAAATGATGGCGGCTGTCTCAATGATGGAGTAGCCGTGGGATGAAAAGGTCTAACCATAGGACTAATATCAGTTGGCGGATATTTTTGAAAGTATGGAAGTCTAGCCAGCGGACTGATCTCGGTAAGGGAAGAGGGCCTTCGTCTCACTCGCAAGTAATAAGGTATCGCAGGGGTCGTACGTTGTTGTGGTGACTTTCTTTTTGCAGGAGATTGAGGTTTTTTAGGAGGTGATGTAAATACTTCGTCCTCTGGCTCCTCTTTTTTCGTCTCAATAGCCGATGATGATGATGATGATGACAGCGGTTCGATTTTCTTTACGATCTGGGGAAGCGGTTGAATTAGTGGTTTATACGTTCGTACAAACTCCACTTCTTTAATAAAACGATCCGTTTTGAGACGATTGTACTTTTGCTGTATCGCTTTACGAGCCTGAACTATTCGCCGTTTCAAGGCCATCTCCTTATTATCCATGATCAACAGAACAGGTAAACAGATAAAAAACAAGGGAACAGATACAATGGAACAGGGGTCTGTTTCTCAATAAGCTGTTTATTTGAAAGCTGTTTATTTTTGGAAGCTGTTGTCTTGATAGCTGTTTATTTCCAACTGAATAATAAACACGTTCTCATGGTATTATATAGTGATCGAAACCCTTCCTGAAACGACCGTTTGGCACATCCGCGTCCTTATTTATCACCATAAAGCCATAAGGAATTCGCCAACTTTCCGAGCACATCTCTCGGAAGAGCTGCATTGTTATGATGGGAGCGACGTGATCTTCATAAATGTGTCGCAAATTCAAATCGTCCTGTTCGAATAAGACAATTAAGTTAGCATTGTCTCGAATCAATTGTTTAGGAATTTTAGAATACGTCTGACCCAAGTAGAAACAGTCGACGGCGTTATGCCTCCCCATTGAAAAGTACGCTCTAATGTTATCCTGTTTTTCACAAGCGATATCGTCAAAAATAAAAACTGAATTAGAGTTAGCCGCATTTGGTTCCATAATGTCAGCATTCTCGCTAAATGTGAAGAAGCCAATATCCTTCATCGGCTTCAGAATTTCCCCCAAAAGCCTATATTTGTCCTGATTCAGCGATTTAGAATAGACGTACACGTGTTTAAAGCGTAGACCGTTGGGCTCAGTAAGCAGACTGAGCATCGTATTTGTTTTACCGCAATTAGAAGGTCCACAGATTAAGCATCTTATGCTATTTGGAAGTAACTCGCCGTGCTTTTTGCGCTTCACATTTGGCGTTATAAAAGTATCTAGATTTTGAATGGGCAGCTTATGCTCCTGCGTCACCACCTTCATTTTAGGCGGTTATAATAAAACTACGAACATTTTCATCATTACATTTTATTTATACATTAAAAAAATACAACTTATAGTTTTTTCACTTCCCCGGTCAGAGGATTGTATTGAACTAGTGCGTCGTGCAGGATCAGACAATAAGCAACCGTTCCCGCCTCGAAGGCCTCCATCGACTCCATTTCCAGCTTAACATCTACAGTCGAATGCTTCAGAGATTCGTTTTGTTTCGAACAGTCCAGCACAAAGATTGGACAACTTTTAAAATACAAATAGTCAAACAGAGCGTCTTGCTCATCCTTGGCATAATAATCTCGTCGAAAGTTTACGTAGTTTTGGTATGCCGTTATGTACTTGTTTGCATTAAAATCTAAATGCATCGCTTCGTACGGATAACTTTCAGAGTTGAGATGCAGTTTTAGATTTCGAATTTTCACGTTATCGAAATCGCCCGCTCTCGCCTCGTGCGAAAACTTCCTCCCGCTACGTTGAAATGCCACAATTGCCCATCGCGGTTTTTCTAATTGAGTTGAGGTCTTGATTGGCCATACATCCGACTGTGCCTGTTTCAATGCAGGTAATTCGTACAGTTCCCACTGCCGAAAAGGTATTGTAATTGTTGCACCCTTATTGATCCGTTCGTATAGGCCAATTTTGGCACTGTCGCTAACCGTCACGTGCGGAACTTTCCATTGAATTTTGGTTAACGTTATTACTGCATCGTCGGCGGTTCCCATGTAACAATCGGAGTCGCTTCTAGCACGGATTAGCACCAATTCTTGTCGCATGTTTACGATAACTTGGCGATAATCCTCCATGCTTCCGAATAAATGTTTTAGCGGTATACAGACAGCGAAATGTTTTTCTTTGTTGCTCTTGTTGTAATCTACTTGAACGGATTCGTTTGTGGGTGACCATCCCAAATGCTGCATACCTTTGCTTTCGGTAAACGTATACGATACGTATCCTTTGAGTGAGGATGTAATTCCAGGATTCCTAGACACGTCCACTTTTTGTCCTCCCAACTCGTAGCGAATTTCTTCAAAGAGAAATGGCGCGAAATTGTTTGTTAGGGTGCACGTTTTTGCAATGGCACCCTCTCCTTGCGACTGACTCCATTCAATTTTTCCTTCTATGTACAAGAAGCTATCGTATGTGGCGGTTATCAGTTCTTGATTTTGAATTAATATACGGATTTCACTGGAAAGCCCAAAGTTCGAAGATCCTCCGTATGGGAGATAGGTGTGCATATCGGTCTTGATTATGGTCTCATCAAAACGTGCGCTTTGAAAGACGTTTAACGAGTCTGCAGCCGCCGCCATTTCCGACTTTCAGTCCAATGGATTCCAAAAAATATTTTTCTGCTGGCGTTAGTGTGCCCGGGCCCTGTCCCGATTGAGAATAACTCGATTTCCGGTTGCTTCGTTTATTTATAGTGTTGAGGAAGGATGGCAGTGGACCTTGATTAATACGTAACCCCATATTCTTTTAACTCTAATCGTACTGTAAATGGCTCACTTTCCCCGAAATCGATTGGTTCCCCCTTTTGATTTGTCAACTTTATAGTTATATTACTAATTCTACTGGTATTTACTTCCAAATATTGAGTATTACTGGGAATTTTATCTAAGCGGTAACCTGGT